CTTGTACATTCTTTACATGCAACAAGGTTTCCAAGAGTGAATCTCATACACAAGATACAAATAAAAAATAAAACCCAACTAGTTGAGATCCAATTTTATGTAATATAACATGCAAAGAAATCTAGATATTCTTCAATAGTTACCATGAAACAAGAATCATGTATGTAAATACTCAAGTAAATTAAATGAACAATGCATGCATTAAACACAATAACCATATCCTTTACTTTAGAGAGTTCGTGAATTACAGAGCATGATATTTTGAGAAGGAATGGAAATACTACACTACGCTAAAATAGACTATTATAAAACTACCCTAGAAAAGAAAAGAAGAATGGTCGAGAAATCATATTGACTTGTTTCATGCACAGAAGCCATAGTCGAAGGCAACGGGTGCGTGTGAGCATATAAGTATTAAACTTTTGCCCCCTTCAAATGAGCCTACCTCATTTATTTATAGAAAGTCAGGGGAGGGAGGTTATTTCACACTACTTCAATGTGTGATATATAACGCTTTGCATTATGTAACGTGGGTAACTATTCCCAACTATTATTAACCTTTCACAATTGCCTCCTAAACTTTTCGATTATCAAATAATTCCTTCGAGGCCTTCAGACATTATTTTGAGAGACGGTTATTGTGCATTGGACCCATGTGACATGTAATCGTTTCGTTGTTTACGCAGCATGGGTAACTTCCCTAAACCGTTCATATCCGCTTGTTTGACTATCAAAATTATCTTTCAAGATCATTTATATAGAAAGGCAGATTATATATTGTATATAGACTCCACGTGTGATATTTTAACTGACCCGTGTTTTATGATACATGTGTCCCTTATCTGAACTATTTGTAACTTGTCTTCTTCGATTATCGATCGGCCCCTTGAGAATACTCCGAGTACTTCAAAATTTTACCCCCAACAAATGCCCACTAAATAATATTTGCCTCGAGGTGTAGGAGAGCAAATGTTTTTTATAAGTACAAATGTGCTTGGACTATTTTCAATGAAACCCTAAAGGTGTCACTATCTATATTCATTAAATGCTTCTAACACAAATCAAATCAAATCACTGATTCTTCTCTCCCTTCAATAATTTTGATGGCATCGATTACGCTTTTCTAGGACAGGTAATCACTTTTTCAGCTCAGATACCTTTGAATATGAATTAAAATTTTAAATCTTTGGATTTTAACTAGGGGCCTAATCTTATTCAGGGCCCATATTTATGCCTTATTTAAGCATTTTTTACTTTGAAACTTTGTCTTTTATCGCCTCAATAAAATTTTCTCTTTGTCTTCAACCTTCTTCATCTTCAACCCTCGTACTTTCTCTTGCATCCATTACCTATGCTATACTCCTACTTTTGTTGTTGCCCCTAATCTCTCTCCTACTCGTGTTTCTGCTTACCCTACACCTAACCTTCCTTTCTTAATGGAGAATGTTGCTATCTCCACTTTGGTTGGAGGTAGTGTCCTTTTCGTTCCTATTCCTGGTATGGAGGAAGCGAACCTCAAAATCTACCAATCTTAGGTACTTATACCTTTCTCCACTCAAGAGGGTTTTTCTCATGCTTTTTTGGGTCCCTTTTATGGTCAGAACAAAAAGAAGTATACCAATAATTTGTTTCCGGAGGATGCTTCTTCCTTTGCTTTTGTTTATTCACCTAACATAGATTTATCCCTTTTTGCTGACATTACTAAGATATTTAGAGCTTTCCCTCCTATTAAAGATAGACAATCTTAAGGAATCCTGACCTCGTCAAAGACACTAGCACAAGTAATAAACTGTGTGACTAACTGACCCCTGCATACGCTTGCTTACAACAAGTAGCTGCTTGTTTTAGATATAAAGCAGTAAATAGAGGGCCAAATCATTGGTTTAACTAAATTACCTATTTGATTACAAGGTATGGTCCTATATAGAGTTCCTTGGCTAGATCGTCGGTAGCTACTTCCTCATCCGGTTGAGGTACCTAATGTAGAAGTCAATCATTGGACTAACCTCCACTGGGATGGCTTCCAGATCACTGCCCTCAAATGTCAATACTCAAGTATAAGACATTTGTGAATCCAACCGGATTCATTTGAAAAACTGGTTTATCTTAATAAACACCAAAACTCGCCTAAACGACTGAATGTCGCATCAGTCATGGGGGCACCTAGTTAACCAAACCTTCAATGGCTTGAACGCGTCGAGGGCTTTATGAAGTCTATCTAGGTTGATACTGGTATATTTGATTTTGTTCAGTTAGCCAAATTTGATTTACATGTTCTTGATCCTCAAATGTTATTGTCTACCATATTTTTTTTGGAACAGGGAGACTTGAGCTTTCGAGTTTCCTTGTGGCTTCATATACTCACAAGGAATACTCACCCTAAGGCTTGGAGAGACTGTGCAAAGAATACTCACCCTTAAGGCCTGGAGAGGTTGTGCATAGAACACTCACCCTTAAGGCCTGGAGAGGTTGTGCAAAGAATACTCACCCTAAGGCCTAGAGAGGCTATGCAAAGAATACTTACCCTAAGGCCTAGAAGGGTTGTGCAAAGAATACTCACCCTCAAGCCTAGAGAGGCTAGCCAAGATTATTCACCAAGCTTGGAGAAGCTCGCAAAAGATGAACTCACGCCCTAGCAAGCTTGGAGAATCTCGAACTCATTCGCTCAACCGCAAAACATCAGCAAATCCTACCAAGCATCAGCACCTATATTGGCCTAGAGAAGCGGCAAAAGGATACTCACCCCCACTCATCCTCATAGAGACAAGAAGTTGAAGACTCGGACAAAACGTCTACATCTTTACTTGCCTTTGGAAAATGCAATCGTAGGGACTTGCTACCCAAAGGACAAGTAAATAGGGGCAGTTGTAGACACCAGAATTTGTCTGGGCTATTCCTATAAGTGTTGGGAGACTTTTGAAGCAAGAAGAGTGGTCCTGGAGGATCAAGGGAGGCACGGAAGCGGGCCAAGACGGAGCCCGACAAGCCTGAAAGACATTTTTGCACAAAAAGAGCCAAAACTCTAATTTAAACTCAGAACAGTCGTTCCCAATAGAATTTTTAATGTAAAAATTACAATCCAGAATGGTCGTTCCCAAAATCCTAATCCTATGTAAAATTAAGGTTTGGAATGACCATTCCAATGTTGGAAACGGTCGTTCTCCTTCCCTAGATGCCTATAAAAATGTGCCCAAGGCTCATTCTCCAGTACATGGTAGACAGACAAAATTCTTCTCCCATTTCTAAAATTTCTAAGTGATAATGAGATCTTTGTAGAACGAAAGACTGCCAAAAAGTGTCCTTATACAAGTTTGTGAAGAATTTTATAAAAGCTTGTTTTGGAGGTTCTAAACTCTTGCTCTTCCTCCTTCCCTTTCTTTATTTGTTTTATTTATAGCTCTACTTACATGCAATAGATTGGACACCATATAGATAATATAGTAATACGCCTGTTGTAAATTAGGGATAATGTAAGTTGTTGTATGTATAATAAAATGAAAGGGATAGAAAATTAATTACGTCGTTATTATGCCAAATTTGTCATAGGGTACCAAGCTAGGGCGTTGTGGGGTGCCTAATACCTTTCTTACACGTAATCGACCCCCGAACTCGACTCTACTATGAAGACCAAAATCGACGTTTTCAAAAACCTTTTTTTCGATATTTTGTGTAAAATGTCAGTGGCGACTCCTTCAAATTCTTTTTTTAAAACCATCAGACAGAGGATCAGTCCGGTCTTCGAATATTTTCAAGCTGACGAGATTTTCAAACAGGAGGTCCAAATTAACCATCTGTGAACTAGATCAGAGTTTTTTCGAGTTCCAACAATAATGAATTAGGTTTTATTAAACTCATTTATGATTTTATTTTTATGATTTCTTTTGTTTTAGATATAATTATTTTTTCTAATTCAATTTTTTTGTACATCGATTACATTTTTTATTTTTTAGGAGATCTTCTAATTGTTTTAATACTTCATGTATTTTATTTATTTTATCATTTTGGTTTTATCTTTCTCTTGACTAATATTTTCTAATGTTTGTTTTATATTATTAATTTCTTTTAATTCTTTATTAATAGTATTACATGTAGAATCGGCAATTTTATTTACTATTTCTAAAATTAATATTATAGTTTTTGTCAATTTTTTCCATCATTATTTCTAATTTTTTACTTATATTTTCATAAAAAAAAAGTTTTAATTGATATTTAATATTACCTATTCTACAAGTTTTCCTTTAATATTTATCTTATTAGAGTTTAGTTGTCCATATATCGCTGGACAAATGTACCGTGGCCCTCTAAGTGAACGCGTACCAAAGGATTTGCCCAAAATGAGAGAACAAGGGAAGTTCTATTTTGCAAGCGACTTCGTCAATGCGATGAAGGATACAATAGGGTGCGTGAAAGCAACGCGATAAAGACTTTTTAGATCTCGAAATTCGATAAAAAATAGAAAGATGTACTCTTCTTGTTCTCTATCTAAGAATAAAAAGAATACATAATTTTTTTTTGTTAAGTTTATATATATTTCAACTACTTTTATTATTTTATTTAATAATATTTTTTAAAACAATATTCATCAAATTTAGGGTTTGACATTTCAATAGTACTACTTTCTTTTTTTATAATAATAAAAATAATTTAGAAAAAATATTATACAAGTAATGAAATTTAATGTAAATAACTAATTTTTTTAATATACTTAAAATCATTTTTTATTTTACTTTAATAGAGGGTAGGGGAGTATACTTTTTTCTCTCAATGAATTTTATTTTCCTAGATAAATGTTTGCATTTCCAGTAAATGCCCTAAAATTGTGTATATCCTGTAAAGTCTAGTCAATGGGCAGAAGATAAGAGTCATTTTTGACGTTTAATTAATTACTCCTGCAACCAGTCAGCAAGTTCCAAAGCAAGTCTTCCACATTTAGACAAAAAAATGTGACTAGTAATAGTTTTCTCTCTCCACCCCACTTCATTTTTTAGTCTATAAATACATTATAGCATTCTTACATCCATGCATAAGGAAATTGAATTTAATCTACAAAGCATTAAATATTTCCCAACCATGAAGGCAATTCTTATTGCATTCTTACTCTTGGCCTCTATTTTCTTCCATCCCAGTTCAACTCTAGCTCGACAACTGAAAGAAGGTAACACTAACTACAACAATTCTCATGCCCATGTTCGTATATACTAAACTTGTTTTCCATCAAGAAAGCTTGATGTAACAATGAACCACGTTTGTGTTTGTTTTGAAAATCACAACTAGAAACCTACCAAACTCTAATGATCATGAAAGGCAGCAACACAAATTAATTTGTAATAATTTGGCTCTTTTATTTAAGCTTTTTTATATTTGTCCATATATATGGAAGTATCATATGCATGCATCGAATCTTGTTGCTTGAGATATTTGTGAACATTATTATTAATGATATATATGCATGGTGTATATTATGCAGCAGCAGTGAGGGATAAGATTGGGGATCCTTCGGATCCTAATCATCCAGTCATTAAATGTGATCCTGGTAAACCGTATAGTAGTTGCCTACCAGTACCACCACCAAAGTGTACTCTTCCATATAAGCGTAATTGCTGAGGAATGATAATTATATTTATCTGGATTCTATCGATCCCATCCAGGGGACAAATATGTAGTCTTAATAAGTTGATGGTGCCACAACTTTTTAACACTATGATCCTGTGTTAAAACTTGCTGCTATCACCTCTATATTTTGCCTTGGGATTTCGTGTGGTTTGGCTGAATAAGAAGCGTGTTTAACTGTTTATCCCGTTTGAAGTTGCAATAATCTTGTAGTGTTGTGATACAAAGGACTGGCCTTTAGGTTAGTCCAATAAATAAAAACTTGATTATGTGTCTTTCAATTTTATCTAACTTTGGTGATATTTATCACATCTATATTTAGATATGCATATTTATATTCATTTATGTCTATATATTATTAAAAGTAAGATAGTCTTTTAGAAATATTTTCTGCGCAAAATCATATAGTTTGAGTTCACGGTTTTCAAAAAAAAAAAAATTTTAGAATTCAAACATTTCTTATTAATTGTAAAATAATTTTATTAACATTTAATTAATTTAATTACCTCAATTAAGCATGCAAATAATTTTTCATGCAAAATTTGAAATATATAAGAAATGTGATCAAGTTATTAAATACATATAATCGTGAAATAATTATTATTTTTATTTAATATAATTGGACATTCAAATTTAAATTTATAATTGATGTATGGAAAAATATATTATGATTAATATTTTAAATGTATATAGTAGTGAAAATAATGACTATTATGCGGCGGTAAATAAAGAATAAAATATTTGTTAATAAAAATTTTATATTTGTCCACTTTAATTTGTAGGAAGAAGAGACTGTTAACTTGAATTGATTAATAAGATGCTTTTAAACAAAAATACAAAAATACTCATAACAGCCAAAATATTTGCAATTTTTCATGTTAAGATTAACTTCAAACTAACATTTAATAGATAATCAATTAGCATCAATATATAATCAGACATACATAATTGAATGAATTCTATTAGGATTAATATTTCTAACTAACATTTAATCTTCATATGCAGATTTTTAAACAAAAAAGAAATTCTTGAAAAAAGGTACAAATCAAACCTATAATTAATTTATAAATAATTAAGGCTAATTAATGAATAATTTAATAAATTTATTTTAAAAATAATTAAAGTCTTAATATTTGTCATTTTTTATATTAAGATTAATGTCAAACTAACGTTTAATAGATATTTCTCATAATCAATTAGCAATGAGTGTGATCAGAGATATAATTGAATGAATTATATTAACCTTATTATTTAATGTTTATTTTAATCTTCATATGTGTAATGACCCGCTTGATCACTACACACAGCATAACACCACAGTGCCACACAGAAAAGATCAAGTATATATATATAAACAACTAGAAATATATACACAAGGTCCAATCTGGGCTAAAAACAGAATATATAAAATACATCCAACTAAGGCTACACTAAGTAGCTAAACACAACCAAAACATCAAAACATCAAAGAATAAAACTCTATCTGCCAGCTGCAGACCCACTTCAGAATACCAACCTAACCTTGCTCTGCTCCCATACATAGTATGATCATTGCAGTCCAAACCACATGGAAACAACAAAAAGTAAGCTAGTGAAAAAAATCAACATACATATATAATTACAAGAATTATATGACAGCTACAGCTAACGGCATATCATCTAGCTAGTTCAGCAACCTCAGCATATAATATATAACAGCATACATCATTCAACAATAACAGCAGTAAACACATAATGCATCGTCACGCATATCAGCTCGGAGATCTCCTACAACAGCTCAGCCTTACGACCAATAACAGCTCAGCCTTACGGCCTACAATAGCTCAGCCTTACAGCCTACAACAACTTATATCAGCATACAACACAACACAACAATTTAGCATATATCAGCATACAACACAGCTCAAATAATATATAGCCCAACTTAAACAACTTACAGCACAACAATATCATCATTCAACTCAATACCATACATCGAAAACATCTCAGCTCAGCATATATCAACATTAATCCGCATTTAACAACACATAAATAACCCTCACACCCGCGCCCGGCGCACTCCTGGTCGCGCCCGGCGTGGCACAACCAGAGAGCACCAGGGACAGTGCGCCAGGCACAAGAGTACTCGCGCCCGACGTAGACCAATCAGAGAGCCCAAGGCTCAAACGCGCCTGGCGCAATACCAATTGCGCCCAACGCAACCCCAGGAAGAGACTCTGAGGAGTCTCACGCGCCCAGCGTGCCCAAACACGCGCTCGGCGCAGGGAAGGTAGAGACCTCCCAAGGTCTCACGCCCGGTGCAATACCAATTGTGCCCGACGCCCCCTTGGCAGAGACTCCCAAGGAGTCCCCACGCCCAGTGCGACATGGTCGCGCTCGGCGCGGCACCAGAATCCAAAAACATGTTACACACTGATATCACGCCCGGCGCGATCCAAGCCACGCCCGGCGTGGGCCATCCAAAGGCTCACATTCTCAAGCTCGCCCGGCGCACACAACTTTGCGCTCGGCAGGCTTGCCTAAATGGAGGCCCCTGGTGGTCACGCGCCCGGCGCGAAGAACGGCGCCGGCAGGATACCCAGCAGCAACCCTCAAACTTTCGAAAATCATGCCCAAATCCTGCAAAAATTCACATTTCCAGCACATACAAACCAGCCAAAATGCCACATTTTCATCAAACATCAATAAAAACATCTAATTTTTAGCATGCAACCATTAACAAGGAAAAATCCCCAAATTTTCACCCAACCTCGAAAACTCCAATTTCTTCAATCTCAGCCAAAATCATCCAATCATCAAACCATCCATGAGTTACTAAACTCATTTCACACAACCGGCATGAATCCTAGCTTCCCTTACCTCGGTACGAAGAATTCGAGCTCCGGGAAGAAAAAGAAGACAATGAAGAAGAAGAAGAAGCTCGAAGAGAAGCTCCGCACGGCTCAGCTAGACCCAACACCTACTCAGCACCTTAAATCCAATCAATGAGAGTGAATCAGCAAAGTGAGAATTTGAGAGGAAAGAAAAGAGTGAATGAGAGAGTTTGAGTGAGTGAGAGCTAAGACTTGAGAGTTGAGAGGGAAGAAGAGAAAAGCCACGAGTCTCACAACCTCCCCAACAACAGGAGTTTTCGTCCCCGAAAATAGACTTACTTGGGAAAAGAAATGGGTATCGCTCCTTGCACTGCTGCTCCACCTCCCAAGTAGCCTCACCAGTAGCTGCATCCCACAACACCTTCACCAGAGCAATGGACTTGCCCCTCAGCTCCTTCAGCTTATGATCAACTACAGTTACCGGCGACTTCTCAAACATCAGATTCTCCTTCACCCGCACATCATCCAGCTCCATCACATGACCAGGGTCATGTACATACTTCCTTAGCTGGGATACATGGAATACATCGTGTAGGTTTGAAAGAGATGGTGGCAAGGCCAATCGATAAGCAACCGGACCCACATGCTGTATGATCTGATAGGGACCAACAAACCTAGGTGTTAACTTCCTTACCTTCAGCGCTCTACCCACACCCGAGGTCGAGGTCACCTTCAGAAACACATGCTCCCCTTCAGCAAACTCCAAAGGCTTTCACCTTTTATCATCATATGATTTCTGCCTACTCTTGATGGAAGCACTTGGTGAAGATTGATGTTCATCCAAGCTTTCCATGCAAGGACCGAAATACTCTTGAGGCAAATCTTCAAATCTGCACTTGAAGCTCCATGAAGTAAACTCCAATGGAGGAGAGGCACCTTGAGGAGGTTCGATCACTTCTTGGAGAGGTGAAGAAGCTTGAGGAACCAAGCTTCTAGGTAAGGAACCTAGAGAGAAAACTTAGGAGAAAGTTTCTCACGAATTTGACTCTTGAAAATGAGAGAGAATTCTGAATTCTTTTTCTCATAAATGTCCAAAAGTGATTACAAGAGAGAGATTCACAAATATATAGGGAGAGGTAGCTTCTAGGAGAAGCTAACCTTAACCATGGTTCACTAGGAACCATGGTAAGGTGTAGCTAACCATCCATGGTTTCTAAAACTTGTAGGAGAAGCTAACCTTGACCATGGTTCACTTAAGAACCATGGTAAGGTCAGCCAAACCTACCAAGGTTTAGAAACTTGGAGGAGAAGCTTCAAAAACCAAGAGGTGTAGCTTAGAAATTTCGGCCAAGGAGAAGTAAGTGAGCTAGGCGGCCATGGCTTCATTTTCTCCTTTGAATTATTTAAAAAATTGTTGATTTGGTTTAGTTAGGTTCATCAAATGATGATGAGACCTAGCTAAATCAAATCTACGAAAAATTAGGAGTAAAATGAGTCTAATATGTAAAATTTTGCCTAGGCCCAACTCAGGCCCAATTTCTAAACACATTCCCTAGCTTTGCTAAATGTCACCCCCTTTTTCCCTAATGAAAAAATACAAAATGAATGTATCAACTAGGGAGGTTAAATGGAGTTAAACTCTCCAAGTAGCCTACCCAAAAATCAATATACAAACACTAGAAAAAGCAAGTAAAGTGCCTCACAAATACAAAGACAAAAATAACCTATACAAGAAACTATGTATAAACTATACAATATACACAAGTAGAACTAGGCTTTCTCTTTATGATTGAGTGGTCCAAGTGAAGAATACCTTGGGCTTGAAAAGCCCACTAGTCTTCAAGAGGTCCAACTCTTCTTGAATTCTTCTAGCCATAGCTCTAGTAACTGGACCCTTGGCCCATGGTCTATCAACTCTGAGCAGTCTTCATCCTCTCCTGAATTAGCTTCACCTTCTCAGTATTCTGTACGATTAGCTCCGGCCCCACAACCATTGACTAACCATCTTGATACTAGCACAGAGGAGTCCTACATCTCCTGCCATACAAGGCTTCAAACGGCGCCATCCCAATACTAGCATGAAAGCTATTATTGTAAGTAAACTCCACCAGCGGTAGGACTTCCTCCCAGCTTCCCAAGTGGTCTAGCACACAAGCCCTCAGCAAATCTTCCAGGATTGGATTGTCCTCTCTGACTGACCATTCGTTTGCGGATGATAAGCAGAACTCAGCTTCAGCTTCGTGCCTAAGGCTTGATGTAGACTCTGCCAAAATCTGGAAGTGAACCTCGGATCTCTGTCTGAAATAATACTGGAAGGCACCCCGTGCAACCGTACTATTTCCCTCATATACAACTGTGTCAGCTTCTCCAAGGACCACTTGATGTTGACAGGCAAGAAATGTGCACACTTGGTCAACCGATCAACAATCACCCAAATAGCATCACTATTCCTAGCCGACCTAGGCAATCCCAC